ATTAAATTCAACTTGCAACATTTTAAACAAATCAGACCCTTCTTAACTGTCAATGCTGCAAAGTCATACCTCCACTGTATGATTCTATCCCACATTGAATACTGTTTTACAAACTGGTCGTTTTCTTGGGACACAAACCTGAAACCCATAGAACAGCTGTACAAGAGAGCTATCAAGGTGTTTGACAGAAAGCCAAATTCATACCACCACTGTACCATCCTTGAGAAACACAATTTCTTGAGTTTTGACCATTTTTTATAAATGTTTACATGGACTGGCCCCGCCTCCCTTAGGGGAATTCATCCACAAAATAGACACTGGACGCTGCACTAGGTCAGAAACCAGAGGAGACTGTGAAGTCCACCGCAGACGGACCACTTTTGGAAAAAATGTCCTTTCCATTAAAGGAAGCTCATTCTGGAATAGCCTCCCAACTGAGATACGGGATTGTCCCACGCTCAATAGCTTCAAAGGTCAACTCAAAGAATGGTTGAGAAACAAACATCAGTGCAATCACCGCTAAATGCACTTCAATACACGGGTATCTCCTCTTGCACTTTAGGTAGCTCTTGTATCTTCTCTTGCACTTTATATGTCGTTGCTGCTATATTGTGCTGCCATGTGGTAAATACTTGTGTATGCTGCTCTTGCTGCATATCATGTATTTATTTTTGCTATCTTTATAAATGTCGTGTTCTTATATGTTGTATGTGAGGGACAACAACAGAAATTGGAAATTAGCTCAAAGCTCAAATCCGGCATATTTACACTTGAAGCATTATTTGTCTTAAGTGTTCATTAATGTGCATTGTCCCTGTTCAAATAAACGATTAAATGAAATGAAAAAATAATTTGAACACAAACATTTGAATTGGTTCCTGCCACATCAGTGAACAATCAGAGCCACTGTAGTGCTGAAAAAAAAATCAAAGCCTGTTTAAACTGGGCTTCTGAAGTTTGTTCAGATTTCATAAAAAAATATGTTACTCAACAGTTTCATAGTTGAGTCTATTCAAACTAATTATTTGAAAAGATGCATGGCAGTTCAGACGGTCAAATGAAAAATGTTTTTCAGTAGTTAATCCCATTTCTTCTAGCTTGGTGCAATAGTTCGTTCTTCCACCTAGACTTCCACATACAGTAGACTCTGTAAAAGCTCACCTTTACATGCTCTGCTGTACTTCTACTTTTACAAATACCCTCATCCTGGGAGCTCATCCTGAACTAATTATATTGTAAGACAGCTAAGGCCCACATCTCATACTCACAGTGCAAGAGTTTAATTTCTGGCCTTCATTCTGCACCCTCTTCACCTAAAAAAATAAATGGTGAGGGAGGACTGCCTACTACTCTAACTATAAAATCCCCTTTTTCAACCTGGGATTAACGTTCATCATTGTGACATAAAGTATGATTAAGGAGGATTATAACTAAATCTGATATTGCAATGCATCGGTTCCAAAGGCACATTACTGCATTACTCACACATGCTTTACAATTGACTGTAAGCACCACGACGTGCTATTTTGCAGAGGAAAAACAAGGTTGTGAAATGTGTTTAGTTTCAATTTGATATTTTTTCGCTGAAAAAACCCACTGCAAAAGATGATTGTCAAGTCATGTTTTCACCGCTGGTTGTAATTCCCCTGGATCCCATCTTGCTAGAGCTTCTAACCTTACTATGATGCTGGATAAATAGACTGTGTCCCTCTGAAACAATTTCTTACGAGGTGTCAAGGGAGTATACATAGTTTCACTTTGAACTTCCTGCTAAACAACACAGTGATATCTAAGAATATTAAATCTGGGCATCGTGCCAGTGGAAGCTCCTCATAAGACTTTTTCATTCAGCTGATATGAAGAGAGGAGGTTGACTGGCGCCCCAGTCAACTCCAGCTTGTAGTGTTAAAGTGATGATACAGTCAATACATATACATCTGGATATACTGTAAGGATGTAACATGGACAAATAATATAGCAATTATACAAATAAACGCACCTAAAAATAAACCAAACATTTGCAACACCACAGCTTTTCACGAATGCACTGCCATGGTTTAAATTTGCACAAAAACAAACAAACATGATCTAATAACGGCAGTCTTTTACTATCTTTTAACTAAGAAGTGATTGGTTCAAAGGCGACTAAAAATGGTGTTAAAGAGAGCTTAGGTACATTTAGATTTTTGTAGGGAGGGAGCAGCTGGGTTACCAAAGCGAGACACACAAACACACAGGTTACCATGCTTTACACTGTTATGTAGGCCCATGGTTTGAGGCACTAAGTGTTACTTTCAAGTGCACCGTGACTAAAGTTAGTGGACAGATAGCGCTGCCTTTGGCGAAAATACAGAAATACCCTGTGTGTGTGTGTGTGTGTGTGTGTGTGTGTGTGTGTGTGTGTGTGTGTGTGTGTGTGTGTGTGTGTGTGTGTGTGTGTGTGTGTGTGTGTGTGTGTGTGAGAGAGTATGTGCGCAAGCCTGTTTATGATTTAAAATAAAATGCTTTAAGCCTCATTGACTGAAGCCCACATGCAGTCTAAAGTCATTAGCATATTTCCACAGGATTGTCCTCAGGGTTTCCCAGCTTGAGGACCTTTTTACCACAGGCTGTATGTGTAATACATTATAAATATAAAAACACCATGCACATTTAAATTGAGAATGAAAAAAAAGTACATGACGCTAAACCCCTCGGATCTTTGCTGCAATTTCAATTATTCTTACACTTATGCTTATACACTTTGAAATAAATGTTATTTTAAGTTAAAAAAAACCTGTTTATATTATTATATATACAGAGTTATATTCTTCGTATAATAAAAGCTCATTAAAACAACTTAAAGGCATAAAAACATTCCTTTATTAGTGTTCAAAGTCACTCCAATTAATACTATCTTTTATATTCTATAAAGTATATCAAGAAGCCTCCTAGTGAAATACATTTTTTTGTCATTGGTGACACCCAGATGTCCTTTAAAGGACCTCTAGTTTGAAACCCACCTCTGCAGGCGACATATTTATCAGGAGCTGTCTACTGTTTCTCCTAACAGACAAATGAGCAAAGAATAGGAAGGATGCCAAAGGGCGTCAGGACGGAGATGTTTAAAGCGCCTGCCTGACATACTAATGAGAATCCATTACAGTCTCATTGAAACACACACACACACACATCAACACATTCAGTGCACAAGCATCTGGCTACAGACACCCCTCTTGTCCCCTATGCCTCAGTGCCTGCCAATTACAAAAGAAGTAATCAATTCCACCACGGCCTCGTCCAGGGAGATAGACTTCAATGACACCAGTTACATGGCCGCTGTATCTGTACCTGACACACTTACACACACAGCGACCAGCCGGCTCTCCACTGAAGGCCAAGCAGCAGAAACACCGCTTGTTTCCAAGTGAATGATTCACAATGACCTGTAACCAGTTCCACCGGGGAGCACTTATGAAGAGCTGACAAACACAGTTACCACAGGTTTGCTATTATCTGATGATCAGTGTTTTACTCAGTGCAGTTTAACATCACAGACATGGTTTCAATTAAACAATATACAGTATTAAATAGATAAGAGGACAATCTTCAGTGGTACATTTAAGCTTAAAATGTGATGAGATTATCTTTATCTTATTAAATGCTGTTGTTATAATGAGGTCTGGATTTCACTTGTTTAGGATTTCTGAATCGGCAAAGCACAATGTGTGTCAATGAAACAAAGAACTTGTTTACAAATACATGAGAACACAATTATGTAAAGCAGTGTGCTGCTCTCCCAGCTCTGTGTAAGAGGTCCATTATAGAACTAAATCTCAAGACACCATTCCTACAAATATGTCTGACAACATTGGTATACTCTTCAAAAAAGGAGATATATGAAAGTATGTTAAAGCATAACAAAATTCATATACATAAATAATGTTCTATTATTACAAATCTTTGAACATCCCCTGAGTAAACACTTGCTGAGAATTGGGAAGTAACAAAGTACAAATACTATGTTATTATACTTTGAGCTGGTATTTGTACTTCCAAAATACTTGAGTATTTGGTTCCTCTGACAACTTTTTACTTTGATCTCATATTCTTTTTAAACAAATATCTGTAATAATGTTTCGATAAAAAAAAAAGGCTTGTTACTTTTTTAATATATATATTTTGTATGACATGGCCTCCCAACATCATTTCAGATTTTAACTTCAATGGATGGGAGAAAAAAAAGTTTTACTTTGACATTAGGAGTACATTTCAGAGCCTGTACTCGGATAAAAGAAGTTGAAGGAGTACTTCCACTTTTACAAGACTCTGTATCTGTACTTATTCTCCTTGAGTAATGAATGTGTGAACACTTGACACCTCAGGCTCTGCCTACTGACAAGCCTTGGAAGGTGATAAAGACTCAAGGCTGTTTGGTAAAGTGAAGAATAACTTATGTGTCTCATAAGCCCTGAGGCTATGGTGGAATTTATGGTGCTGTGAAGGTCAGACCGAGCAATTTCTCAACATGGAGTTATAGAGAACACTGTAAGTGTTAGTCAATGGAGTAATAAATCTCTTCGATGCTATCGTTTGTCTCCTCTCATCACCGTTGACTCCCATGCACCTCCATTTTCTCCCCGCCCCGTCTTATTTTCCTCTAGTTGCCCATCTGTCATGTTCTCCTCCACCCCTTTGCCTCCTTCAAGGTCCGCCTCTCCCCCTCCTCTCTCACATTTCGCCTGACTTATCTCCCCTCGTCGTTGTCTCATAGCCTTCCCCCCCCCCCCATCCACCTCTTCCTCACGGTGCATCAACAACACTGCTTACATTGGACAGCCAGCGAGGGAGATCTGTGTACGAGTGTGTATACCTGCAAGTGTGCAATTATGTGTGTGCGCCTAGTAAGAACTGTGCAAACAAGCCTGAGGGACACACCACTGCAACTTTGCCCTTTATCCTCAAACACTGGCACACAACTGCATGTTCACGTGTGTTTGTGCATGTGTTTGTAATGTTACCTTTGGCCTCTTTGTACTCTTCACAGATCCTTCTGACGGCCGCCAGACCCTCCTGCTCATCCCTCCCACCTGAAAGGAAGAGGACGCAAAGATTAATATGATATCTGACAAGTCCTTAGAGGCTTTTAATAAAACAACAAGGATTGGCCTTTTTTCTTTCTCATAGCTGTGTTCTTTCATCTTATAATATGTACTACCACCAAGGGTTCTTCAAATGAAAAGAGTTGTTGAAACAACTACAGTATTTATCCCTTGAAGCAGAACCCTGGTTTCAAAGACTTTAAAGTACTTTCATAGTACAATTAATTATACCATCAATTATGTATAAGATATCAAATAAAAGGCAACATTATCAAAATAGCTGTTTTGAAATCAGAGCAGGCATCCAAGTACTATTGAATAAAATATAATCCTGGTATATAAAGCATTTTCTGACAAGAAATAGGAAACCAAATATCAACCAAACAGTCTTTTACTTTAAGATTGGTTACAGCACATTAGATATTTCCATATCTTGGACACGCTCGGATACCCTGTTGAATATACACACAGTCTCTCTGACTCAGGACAGTTTCTGTTTACAGATGATGTTTGCATAAGAAATGAACCCTGCTGCTAAGAAAGAGAGAACAAATATATTTAGAAATGTATGCAAAAATATGAGAGAGAGAAATACAAAAAACCAAGAGCTGTTGGTGTTATTTACTGAGCCTTGTTTCAAAATAACAACTTCAAGTATGACGCATCTACAGACAAAGGCACCTACAAAGGCAGACACAATTACTTCATAAAGTCATGTCCTACAAGTCAATACAGACAATAAATCAAGTAAGCAATGAGTCAATTCTAAAAACACGAGTTTGTTCTCAAATACATTTTTTTGAAGATTTGCGGAATGCTGATACACACTGTGAATACACACACACAAGCAAACTCTCTTTATACCCATATTCATAGGGACAAATAGCCCGCATGTGCACTCTCATTTTCTCTGTGCACACACACAAACACACTAATCTTGGATTATCACGCCGGCCTTTTGAAGGACACAGCATCATTTACCCCGATGCACTGCCGTTCATGCTGAGCTTAAGGATGCAGGTCTTCTGGTTGACTTGTCACAAGGGTCACACAAACAGGACCCACGCACAGTGATCTTGCACAAATGAATCATTTCATACAAATAGTTGATCTTTATAACGCTACTCTGCTTATGGACCAACAGTCGCTGAGAGCGCTGCATGGCATTAAATACACAATTCTGCTTTCGGTCAAAAGAATCTCCATTAAAATAGCCCCTGATTAAAAAATGCCCCGAGGTATTAATTTGCCTAATAAATAATCCGGACCGGGAGTTAAAATTGTAACCTAATTCATTTACGTAAATAATCTTACTAAGCTTAAGAAAGAGTAAAAATGTACGCCTGGGAAAAAATACATCAAATTCAATACTAATCTCCTGTCTGTGTGGTAATTAGAGCGCTGAAAACATCACTAAAACTCATTCTCACTCTTATTCATTCAATGTTTCTGTTTTGCTTACCTACAAATGCAACAGTGTGTTGGAGCTGTTTCTAAAAATATAAATATGTACACATCCATGCAGTCATTCTAAGCACCATCATTGTGTCCGCCCAGGTCTTTTTTTGGTTTGGAACCATTTAAAAAGGCGACAATTTCTCACCACATCCAAGACCTGGCTTCTATAGGTGTAAAAGGATGTACACATCATCGCAAGTAAATAATGATGTACACTTCTTGTTTAATTGGGTAAAGTTGGCTTCAGAATACATTTACTTCCACTGTAGCAAAAGTAGATTTTCAAAGCACAAAGGGCGATTTCTTTTCTGAGTCCAATTCATTAAACCCACATTTGAATATGTGTAATTTAAAGCTTATTAAATGACACAGATTAAAGTAATGAAGTAATGCTTTCAGCTTTTATTCTGCATATTTGAAGCACTGATAAAGTGTTCTGTCATTGGCATCGGCCTTCATTCATGTCTTTATGAAATGTAGGACATTGGCACTGATAAGGACACAGGAGAGTGCCGTACCACAATGTTTTGAAATATATCTGTCTCATTAACAGTATGAAAACACAAAGTCTTGTTTTGATATTTAGGTGAGTTACTTTTTTCCAAACCATGAAGAAGCTGATTCACCAAGTTGCCCTGTTTTCTTGAAAGTCTATGAAGTTCCCTACAGCAGGCCAAAGTTTATCCACAATGACTGTTGTTTGCCAAAATATAATTCTTAATATATAAAATTATTCAAGAAGATATACTGAATATTTGCTATTTGAGTATAGTTTGACATTTTATATTTGTTTAATTCCTTTTTTTTGTATAGTTATGGAAGGATCTATACATGTACAGTAGGTGCAGCTTTGCATAACATGCTGTAATTTTGTTCTATTCATACCATTCCTTTCATATTTTGCAGCTGCAAAGACTTCATTTTCCAATTCGAATGACTTTAAATTATGTTATTTCATCTTAAAAACACTCCAAAATGAACCATTTTAATTCAAAATGTACTTAAAAACCCTTGAAGCGTAATTGCATCCTGGTTAATATCCAACTGGTGTTTGACAGAGCAGAGGCTCAAACAATGAATTCTACTCATACAAGCACTATGCTTACACTCCATCTGAAATATGCATCCACTCCATTACCAGAGGGATCCACTTTACCATAAATATCCACACATGAATTATCTCAAGAGTTGGGGATATTGGAAATAAAGATATACTTAAGTGTCCAGTAGGATCAGCTTCAATAAAGATTGTACAACAGTAGCTTGTATTCATTTTTGTGCAATCACGTAGGACTCAAGTAATTTGTGTGTTCTGCACCAATCGTCTCTAAGGATACTCTGACATTGCGGTATGTTCACTGCGACTGGATGAATAAAGCTGTAGCTCGTGAACTGAATGAAAAAGGGAGAACCAAGAGACAGAAATCATATTGTTGTTCCGTGCACGGAATGTTGGAGGCGTTTGGATTCTGCAGTGGGAGAGTGCTTTTTTGAAAGTTCCTTGGCAGTAACCGTAGTTGTCACTGCAAATGTCTGTAACTTATAGTAGCAATGGTCTACTGTTAATGCTAAGCACCCCCTTGCCTCCTCATTCTCCTCCATGTCGTCTTGACTGAATAAAAACAACCAGCTGCAAATTAACCAGATAATATTCATTTGAAAGCTGCCAGCAACAATGAACAGGTCCTCGCACATCCATTAGCATCAGGGTTAAATGATAAAGTTATAGCAATATACAGAATCATAAAGAAAAGGACAATACATTAGGGCTGTGCAATTAATCGTATTTTAATCGCAATTACGATTTTGGCCTGCCACAATTACGAAAACAACATAATCGAAAAAAACGATTATTTTGCTTTGCTAGGTTGTGACAGTGCACTGCAACATATTTGATCAAAGTATTTGTATTTATCATATTTATATATGTTTAGTAGCTTGTTGAAGTGCGCTCCAAAATATTTGTTGATCTTGTTTATTGGTATTTATTATTTTGATATTATTTATGTATCATTTATTTTTGTATTGGTTTTTCAGTTGAATCATACGTTCAGGGAAATCAACAGTTAAAAAGATACTGTTCAAATTATTATTTGTATTTAAAAGTTCAATAAATGGATGTTTTCAAAGTCAATGAATAATCGTATTTAATAATCGTGATATCAATTATTGACCAAAATAATCGTGATTATGATTTTTGCCATAATCGCACAGCCCTACAATACATGTCTTTATATGGCTCTTGTTTTCACAGTTGTTCTAAGTACCAATTCATAATGCAACTAGTTTCTTGGTTTTGTTCCGCCTCATCCAAATTTGATTTTGGAACTCAAAGCTTAGTTTGGAACACAATTCCTATAAGATATAGCTGAATAAATGAGCCAACCAAAAGGCTTGTTTAAATGGGCCAATCATTTGTGAATTAAGTAAAAGTAGAAAACGTAATTCAACAGAATGTAAAATGTAAAACCCTGTTTGGACAATACAAATGAAACGCTGCACCACTACAAATCTTTTAGAGAGAGTTGTGTGGTTTATTCTGATGACCTAATGATTGACTTAAATTGAAACCAAACCAACTGGGGACTACAAACAGAAAAAAGAGCAAACTGGATCCTGTTAGTCCAATGGTAGCAGCAGAAATGACTAAAACCCCATGGGAGTGTACGTTTGAGAAGATGCTAATGGCAGTTAGCTCAGCTGCCAGTTGCAGAGTGTTGCTGGGAGATATCTTAGATGAAAAGGAAAAATGCATTTCCTCAAAACATAAATCCCCAGCCAAACCCTCCAGACAAAAGAACAAAGCACAACAATAGAAACAATTAAACAGGAAGCCATCCTACCACTTGTGTGTCTCTACCACAAAGAAATCTACAGATGTAACGGATCAGGATATAAACAGATTCAGATGCTGTCAGGCAAAACATAAAGGGCCTTTCACTTTAACAGATCTTTAACATAATGGTTGTCATTGTAATCAGTGTTTGTTTGCTTTTTCCTCAGATTGTGACTTATATTTTCATGTTTACGTATTCAAATATACACACTTATGAGTTGAAGTGGGCTAGAGTCTCTACTGTAAGTGTGGACCTTCGGTGCATGTCACTGCAACTCTGCACTTGTTTCCTATCATTTAGTAACTAATAGCTGAATGAAATGAATAAAAAGAAGCACTGTTTGAGATTTTGGCTCAGAAATGTAGTAAGGGTTGTCTGAAAAAGCAGAAAATCCTTGTCTTCTGAAGGTAAGATTACACCTTCTGCATCGGAGTAGCTGAGTAGGTCTATGTGACACGTATTTTTCTGACTTGCTCATGACTGTAATCACCAGAGCCCAAAACTGTGTCAGTTTTGAAATGCAAGAACTTTAGGTTTCAAGCTTCTTATTTAGTAACCACTGAATATATTATCCCTGAAACTAGAATCAGGCTTGCATTACTGCTTATTTACAAAGAGAAAGGTTTTTGTGTAACAGTAGGTTACAGAAGCACACTATGCACTAGCCCCCAAGTGAAAAAACTAAAGAGAAAGGCATGCACTCTCCTTCAAACATCCCCACTGAATGTCCACTTACTGTACATGCAACCCTGAAGAACAAGTTTCTGCCATAAGTATCTCGGACATAATGCTTTATATATTGTATTTGCAACACAACATAACAAATGCCTACATATCTAACATGTGAAGCTAAACGGAGCCTCTTGCACATATATCAACATTGATTACTGCTCCACGGAAACGTCCTTACTGTACCTCACAGGCAAATTGATACATCAAGCCAAGAATACAAATCCATTTTAAAGCAAGAGACTGTAACACTCATCTGTTATCAATAGCAACAGACGGCAAATAGTTTTTAGAGAAAAACATTTATCCAAATCATATCAAAAAGAGGCCTATTGCCATTCATCAATGTGCACTAAGCAATTCACTTCAGACCCAAGAGTCAGAGGGCTCAACACACTGCTGAAGAGTGTGAAGGAGCTGAACAGTCAGTCACTGGTGAAGCCTTGAACTGCACTGAGCAAAAAGTCAAGGAAGACATCAGAGGTGATGTGGTCAACATATTTCAGCAAGGGGCTCCTGGGATACATGATGAGTGAGTAGAAGAGTACATCTTCTTGGTAAATAAGTACTCTATCTGTATTTTTTTACTTTTATGTATGCACCATGACATCAAATCAAATTCCTCGTACGTCTCAACCTACCTGGTAATAAACCTGTTTCTGATTCTGATTCTGATTGATGGCACTTCAAGGAAGGAAGAGTATATATAGATACAGTACACATGCTGAATACATACATACTGTTGATGTCAACTGTTTTTACTAAGACTTTGTATTTATTTACAATGTATTTGTGTGTCTGCACAGTAAAATGATGGAATTTCACATACTAAAAGAATCATGGCATGAGGCATAAACCAGCCACACTTTATAAAACATGGGTCTATTCCAATTATCTGCAGACATCAGCTATTACCAGTAAATGGAACAATATGCAAAACGGCCCTTCATAATGGTACATTTGCATTGACCACATTTTTGATAAAAGCAGAGCTCAGAAGGACATTACATCATCTCACGGTGGAGCATAGAACATATTTTAAAATAATGAAAACAAACTGTTTTGATGTTGTTCCAAAACCTTAAGACGGATCAGCGGGGTGTCAAAAGGCATCTGATGAGTTGTTGACCGTCTGATACTAATAAGGGACCTCTGACAGCGACTTTAGGGAGCCTTAAATATGATTGGCACTGCAGGGCTGTGGTTTTGTTCACATAACAATACAGATTACTTTATTATAAGATCATACATCTGTAGCATAGAAGCTCAGTAAGCTAACTGACATGGACATCACTCTATTCTGCTCGGAGATTAACTGTATTGTCTAAAGTTGGGGAAAGACATTAATTCATGACAGAATCATGATTCTTATCTGAATGGATAGATACACAACAAATGTCTTCTAAATAACATAGACATTGCTACTGATGCAACATTAATGTGTGGTTTTATTAAAAAGATTCCACAAAATATCAGTTTATTTTATGTGAAATGTATTTTTTAAATTGGCAAGTAAATATAACCTTTAGTCTTAAATTTGCCCATGTGTATTGACATTATTGCAATCAGTTGATATACATGATTTGAATATACAAACTCCTACGTTTTAAACACACACACACCTGTTTATATGCCATCATTTGCCACACAGAGGTTAGCTGGAGCAGATCTTGAAATAAGCACCCTACGTACTGAATCCAAAATCGATTTTGATTCAAATCCATCATTACCAAAAGATTCATATGCTTTGTGTTTTCTCTTTCAACCCTTTTGGAATCCAGTCATTGAGACAAGTTATCATCCAAAATGTGAGATATCTGAAACTAAGATTTCCAGTGACTTCACTGTCATCCATGTTCATGTAGAAAATAATGTAAAGATAACAACAGTAACAATACAAATAGTGAATAGTTGTATCTGTGTTAGTGAAGTTATTTTGAAAAGATTTTTCAATAATGATTGAAAAATCTCCTCAAGGTGTTGTTATGTTACCTTACTTTGTGTAACCTTGAAAGTCATGCCATCAGTTAACTGTCCTCTACTCTACGCTGACAGTCTTTTCACCTCTCCCTGTATTACTGCTGCTGCACTGGGCGAAACTAATCTCAGACTGTTTAGCGGTGATTGTGGCACCATTATCTGTGATGAGACAAGGCTCAATTCTGCCATCAGTTCCGCGCCTGCATGAAAGTGCTTTGACAGATTATTTTGTCATGTTTGCAGCTATTCACAGGTAATTCTGACCGGGACACAATTTGCCCTCTATGGTGATTATTTCATTAATCATGCGACACAAATTTAAAAATAATTTTGTCACAGCGTCCAGCCTGGTGTGTGAAATTGCACATTATAGTTTTGAAAGGCACAACAAATATGAAGGTTATTATTATAATTATTATTGACGTGCTTGCCAACCTCTTTAAATAACATGGGTTTGAGTGTCTTGCCCTTCGTCCTGGTTGCGTGTCATTGGTGCAGAGCTTGATACTGTACCTATGATAACATGCGCCCCCAGCCTGGCCATGTGGCGGACTACCTCATAGCCGATTCCCCTGCCTCCTCCTGTCACTATGGCAACCTTGCCATCTTGTCTGGGCATCACTGGCAGAAGCAGAAGAGGACACGCAGATATCAGTAAGAATGTCATTTGATAAGGACGCTGCTTCAAGACAGGCCACTATTTCAAGATATGAGAAGTCCTTGTAGTAAGACTTTTAGATGGTCTGTAAATCTCAGATGGACTTTATCTGGGTTTTTACATTCTATGGCGCAATTTTCCTTCACTTTCCCAAAGAACTTTGTGTCTTAAAGTTTCACTGTGGTACTTAAACTCTGTTTTTGTAATGTAAATTACAGTAAGCTTTAAATGAGACACATTCTTTTTTTCAGGCCATGTGCAGACAATACCTAAACAAGTTTGTTTTTGTTCATGGTCGTCATCAGATACTGATTTTCGTGTGATGATGAGCATGGGTAAATAAAGCTTTTTTGCAAATGTACACTGATCAACTTATCAAATCAAATCAGGTTTTATTTATATAGCACATTTAAAAGCGATTTTTGGTCGAGCCAAAGTGCTGTACATGTATTAAAAACACATTACTACAATCACAGTAAACGACAATAAATTACAACAGATATATCTTAAAAACAAAATAAAAATAAAACACACGGAAAAGTCAGGAGTCGTGCTCCGCTCTAACTAGAAAGCCAGAGAGAAGAAGTGTGTTTTTAGTTTAGATTTAAAAACCCCTAGGGTCTGGGCCGACCTCACATGGAGGGGCAGAGTGTTCCAGAGCCTAGGGCCAACTTAGAACCAAAGTTGATAGTAATTTATATAAATCAAAACACAAGTGATTTGTTGTGCATGTCTTACTTCTGACTCAGCGTAAATAAATAAACCTCTTAATTCAAACAACACAAATAGTTTCCAATTACATTCAAACTAAATGATTGAACTTTTCTTTTAGCAATATCTACTGTATTTCATTGGTTAATAATCAGTTGTGTACTGTCAGTCAAGCATTTTCATCTACCCGTAGCAAAGACACGTTCTGTATCTGTTTACCAAACTTTGTTGTAAAAAGTGGAGATTAAACCAATATCAATTTGCGACAAATGCAAACACTTTAAAATACATTATGTGAGAAAAGTATGGACTGTTAAGCTCTTCTGGTGAATTCGCCAAACATAACAAACAAGACAACCTTTCATTTGACTCATGTTGCTACTTCTCTCCAACTAATGTTAGCTAACGTTAACATTGCTAACATTACGTTAACGTTAGCCTCCTGCACGCTGGGTGTTTCAATTGCCTTCATGTAATATTTAAATAACTAAGCCAGTCACTAACAGCTATCTAACGTTCATGACTCTGAGGACTAAAGGTTGCCCCGTTACGGAGTGTGACACTATTCAGCGGAAGTGCACCACAACAACGTATCGAGAGTTAAACGCACCTGGCAGCCTGAAAGGTCTGCTGAGCAGCTGAACCAGCAGGACCTTCAAAGCAAGCAGGTAAAGTTTGATAATTGGTAGAAGATAACACCGGATAGCGGATAACATCTCTGCCTGGAGCTGTCACTGGGTGAGCAGTGCAGTGGAGGAACAGCTCCGGGTAGAAAGAGCAGTTCCGTCTATGGGATACGTTCCAATATGAAGTCGTCCATCCTCGCTTCCCTCCTTGTCGACAGACACATAGTGGACAACGTTAAAGTTATTGTAATAATACCAACTCATACTGAATGTGAAAAGGGCTTTCTACTTGACTAATAGCTCTTACAGCCCAGTAACTGATTGGTTGACCTTGAAAGAAAATGCCCCCCCTGCAGCTATCCATCACTTATCTATAGGGGAGGTGGGATAAGTGTTTGATTGAGGGGCCTCTTTACTGCCGCTTTGCTGCCTGATGTGCCGTATGATCCTTCTCTGTAGATCCACCCAGCATATTGCTCCCTTCAGCTAACTGACTATCTCATTAACTGCTGCCAAAGAGGTCACAAATGACAGAAGCAAAAGAGGCATGACACCCTAGTTTGATCCGATCCGTAATATCTCAAGATAGGCTTTAGGAACATGTTTCTGGAGCAGCATTACAGCTCCTGTCTGCTATGGAGGACGGAACATGACTTAAGTATAAATAAATAAATAAATGTGTAAATAAATAAATAAATACAGGAATAAATAAATACAGGAATAAATAAATGAATGCGTAAATAAATAAATAAATACAGGAATAAATAAATACAGGAATAAATAAATGACGAAATAAATAAATAAATGTTGAAATAAATACACAAATAAAAAAAATAAAAATAAATAAAAATGCATAAATAAATATGGAAATAAATACACCAATGTATAAATAAATAAATAAAAGTCGAAAATAAAACAGAACACACGTTATTATATATCTTTCATATATTTCTACATTTACGCGACATACATTTATTTATTTATGTGTCCGTATGCTAATGAGGTGGGCGGTCCTAACCTCAGTCTGAAGCAGGATTCGCCAATTGTTGGAGCCAGGCAGAAGCAAGAGATTCGTGGCAAGTCACATCTGTTCATTCTGTGTACAGTGTACACCCACGGCAACTCGCTAATAATGGCTTCTTTAATAATTGTTCTTTCGCACACCCGTTCGCGATGTCCCCAGCGGTGTGCCCCCAACGAAGATGTGCTTCAATAACGTTTGGGGGCAACATGTAAGATGGACGCCCAAGGGTCGCCTCCTCTGTTTCCGAGAGGATTTCAAGTTGGCGGGCAACCTCTTGAAGACTTTCAAACACAGCTGGGTTAACATCCACATCCATGTCGAGCTGAGCCAAGTCCTCTATACATCGTTCCACACGAAACTGGACATAGTCTTTTGGTTCTCCGTTCTCTAAATGGTCCGCTAATGATCTCCAATGGCTCTTAAACCAATACCCATAAATAATCCTTACAACTGTGGATAAACCATGGATGTATAAAGATAAGGGCTAAACAGTAAAGCTCCTGCATTCGAATCAGCGCGGTTAGCCAGGCGTTAGTAGAGCCCTCTGCCAGAAATGATCACATCACACACTCCTGTAACCAATCCTGCTTCAGACTGAGGTTAGGACCGCTCACCTCATTAGCATACGGACACATAAATAAATAAATGTATGTCGCGTAAATGTAGAAATATATGAAAGATATATAATAACGTGTGTTCTGTTTTATTTTTGACTTTTATTTATTTATACATTGGTGTATTTATTTCCATATTTATTTATGCATTTATTTATTTATTTATTCTTTTATTTATTTATTTGTGTATTTATTTCAACATTTATTTATTTCTGTATTTATTTCGTCATTTATTTATTCCTGTATTTATTTATTTACGTATTTATTCCTGTATTTCTTCATACATTTATTTACACATTTATTTATTTATACTTAAGTCATGTTCCGTCCTCCATAGTCTGCAGCCCTTCGCCTGCACTGTGTCTGACTGGTGGAGGTTTTATGATTCCCTCTCCTGGGATCACTTACGTCCATCACACCAGTCTACTTTTATCAGAGGCTAGTCAGGCTGCTGTGATATAAAGTCAGATAGAACTTCAGCTGTGAATAATATATTTTCTTTCTGATATCTGATCCTTAGTTTTCAAATAGGCTATACATTTTCTTAAGTTTAGTAGCCTGAAGATGCAATAAAATAAATATGTTCAGCATAATCATAAGAGTGTCGATTACAGCTTTAATCACCACTTCCAGAGATACTGACACTTCATGCCAAACTATACCACTGAGAACATTTTTAATGGGCTTATAAGATTTAAATGTAAAGATGAAATATTACATAAGTCATTGATTTTATCTTTTGAGGTTTACTATGTTTTCTGCATCCAAGTTTGTCATCTCTACCTCATCCTCAGAGCTTTGGGGAACAGTGATTTTTTGCTGTTTTAGCAAGTGATCACATTTTGCCAAGATGCTAAAAGCCTTACTGTGAATACATACAAATGTTTTCCTTTCATAGGAGCATCCTTTCAAATGTATGCTTAATGTTTGGGTTTCTAAAATGAATGGCAATCATTCAACCACCTCTCTTTGAGCGAGGCATATCCTCCCACGAAGCTCAGCTGAAATTAGTAACATTAATGACTCAATGTGTGTAATTGAGGACTGTGAAGCGACCAGGGATTCACTACAAGATTCACCTTCCCTGTCAGCAATGTTAAAATGTAATGACCTACATGTTGTTAGTTTAATATGTAAGTCCTGTGTGAGAGTGAAAGCTGATTAAGGGTTATCACTGAATCTACTTTACCATTTAAAAGTATGGATTTGCTTGCCACAAAAGCTTAATTTGGTACAGTCAGATGGCTGAGAGGGCCACTCTACATTTTTGAACAGTCTTTTATTCCTTGAGGCTGTGAAAAGGGGCTCTATATAATGGATGATATTTGGTATGAATGGGTTGCAAAAAAACTGAATGTGCAGAAGAAAAAAAAACATACCTCTGAGCAACACTTCAATAAGAATAGAATAAATTACCAGCCACTGATTAAAGAAATTAGATGCTTAAAATCGAAATGTGTGCAGAATTGAAAAGAAACAGGTTCTGGTTGTTGAATCGATTGTAGTAGCTTTTTTGTGAGTTGACATAATTGCAACTGATTGTTAAAAGTGAATGAATGAAACCAAATAGTAATCGTATTGTGGCAGACTGTGATATCAGCAATACGATGTTCACCCAGTGAATCTGCATCATATCGTTTTGTGATGAAAATTGGGATTCATATCCCCAAAATGTGAACGGGCAGCCTACTGCTGTGATGACTTGTTAGAATGCCCAAGCGGCCATGGAGGAAAAATAGGAGAAGCAGGCAGGTTGGGGTTTTTCCATAGAAAACTGATTTATTTTTGCATCCACTGTGAGCACATGGCTGCCCTCCACCATCCACACAGTATACAACACCCTTCTCAACAACACTGACTGCTTTTTATAGGAGGCCTCAGATCTTCATTGGCTGGCACATACCATTATCTTTATGTAAGCAAACGATTTACTACCACTATATACACATTTACTAAATATTTCCCCACCAATTTACCAATAATATACA